TTTCTATAGCATGGAAGACGAAGATTCATCAGTTTTACAAATTAAAGAGTAAAATTAGGAAGTAAAAGAAAATAGGTTTACTGTTATAAATAGAATTTTATTTATGGTGAATGTCCATATTTAGAGAGATTCTAGGGTTTATTACTTGGTGGCTAAGTCACCCTCTCCCTATAAATAGAGGGTTCTATTCGATTGTAATTCATCCCAAATCAATAAGAATTCTCTCTCTCTACTTTTCTCTGCAATACTCTTCTTCTTCTTTTATTATTTCATAACACGTTATCAGCACGAGACTCTAACCAATTGAGTAGAAGCTTTGGGATTGAGCATAATGATTGTCAATTATTCCATGAACTTCCTTCATGATTAAATTCTGAATTTAAGGTAAGTATTTTACCGTATTTTTCTCTTTTATTCTATACTTTGATTTTAAATACAAGCAAAGACAACAAAGTTTGATTATAACTCTAATGGAGTTTGTAAGAAATTATAACCACCTGAAGTGGTAAAATTTCTATGCCTCGCCATGATCAAATTCATGTATGATTGTGGGCAAAGAATTGAAAACCCGTCCCATTGAATTTGCTCCATTCTCATTCCCTTAAGAGAATGTGATAGCAGTATGTGATAAGTCTGAAAGAAGACAAAATTATTACTATGAATGTATCAATGGATATGGATGTGGCAATAGACGAAATTATAATCGTCATCATTTGTGGTAATGAGAACAATAAGGATTCTCAAAATAATCTTTCACTCTGTGAAAAATATTTGTCATCGATTTGACATGAGATTTTGTAAAGCACATATAGATGATTATGGTCCATTCATGATGTGAATGTGACAACATCTGATTTATGAATACATATTCATTCTTCAAAGAATATGAACGTACTAGTGGTAGTGAATATACCGCACTCACCTCTAAAAGGAGGTTTGAGATGATATAAGAAAATAATGTCATTATTATGGCATGAATGGTCATTGGTCACGTACCTATTATACGCCAAAATATTTTGGCAATGTGATAATTAAAGGACAACAATAATGCAAGAAACATATCTTGCATATAATTTTGACCATGACCATAATGGTTAACTTTCTATTTAAAAGAGATATTCACCACATGGATGTTGATGAATCTGTGGTAGTACAAAATTAATTGAGAGCTCTGGAAGAGCCAATTATTACTATTTTGGAGGAATACAATTGATTATCATGTCAATTTATTGTGTCGTAGTAAGTCTCAAAGAAACTTTTTGAGTTTCTAAAGTATTCTCGAAAGCGGTTGGTTATATTGAGACTATAAATAAAGGAAAGATTTAATATCTTCTATTACTACAACTTGTAGCGGGGTAATATGTATGTGAAAAGCTACCCGCTTTATTCTCCAATTTGTACTACACAAACAAAAGAATGCCATTTATATAACATCTGGCTAGCTTCGGATTGTTCGGCACCAAGTTGAGGACTTAGAGTGAATTTGTGGGCTGGAAAGTGAGCTTAGAGACGAGGTAAGTCTCTTGCCTAACCTTGTAAGAGGTAATTTACTCCATAGGTGATTTGAATTTCTATTTTCTTCTAATTATGGGGGCTACGTACGCACGAGTCCGTGCGTAGCTACTTATTATGCTTAAGTCTGGGTAGTTTAGGATCCAGATCATGAAATACGTGTAATGTTTGCACATAGTAAGTGTCGATGTTGATCCCTCGTCACTACTTCTTTGAGATTAGACTTGATACTTACTGGATACATGTTGTTTATGTACTCACGCTACATTTCTGCACTAATCGTGTTGGATCTGAGGCAGGTGCATCTGGCAGTCATTTAGGTGCACACCCCTGCTACCACGAGGCCTAGTGGTGAGCTACTTCTGAGTTCGTTCTGCGGCACCCGGAGTCTCTCTTTTGCATTTATTTTATGTCTACTCTATTTCAGACAGTAGTTTAGAGTTTTGTATATTCTACTAGTTGCTCATACACTCGTGACACCAGGTCTTGGAACACATGCTAGTAGATTTTATGGTTTTGGAGCATTTATTTCATTGTATTTGCTCACTCATTAGCTTTGCTTTACTTTATTAAATTTTTTACTCCCTATTTTCTTAATAAATGAAATTTAACTACTTGAAAATTCACTAAAAAGAATTACGTGGTTAGTTCACCGTTGACTTGCCTAGCGGCGATGTTGGGCGCCATCACGGCCTACAGAAGAAATTGGATCGTGACAACATGGTATCAGAGTACTAGGTTCACGTAGGTCTCACAAGTTATGAGTATGCCTAATAGAGTCTTGCGGATTGGTGTAGAGATGTCCGTACTTATCTTCAAGAGGTTAAGGGTGTTAGGAAACTACTCTTTCTTCATCTCTTAGTTTATTGATATAAAAACCCATATTATAATAAACTTGGAGTTTATTGATAATTGCACACGTCATGGTGTAAATCTGAAGTTTATCAATATTGATAATTTATTCAGTTGGCATAATTGGTTTACCCATATCAATTTAAGTATGATGTGCAAAAATAAAAGAGAATTCACATGGGTAAATATTAAAGAACTAGAAAGTTCTTTACGAATTCTTTTATGTTGCCTGTTCTCATTAATTAATATACCAACTAAAATTGGGATTGAATCCCATGAATGTTGGAAATATCAAAGGTGAATATGGGCCCATTCACCTGCCATGTATACCACATAAGATGCATCTATGAGATGGTTATATGTGCGATTATTATTAACCCGCAACATGGTGTTTGCGAGGTAACTTGCTCAATATTTGATTTAGAGCATAATTTTCAGATTTTTTTATTCAAGATAGTTCATCTTGATAAGTTGGTTTACATCACAGTTGGTTTAGAAAAATATTTATTGAGTGCCTCCACTTAATAGCTAAACAATTGCTTATGAGAACAAAGTTTTATATATCAGTTTGATATACGTTATATACGAAAGTATATTAATTTCTCCCCTCACAAGTGATTCATGGTCAGGAACCAAATAATTCCATCTTATCATTATTGATGTGCGGTGTATATTTTAATTAACACCATAACGCACAAAGATGGGTTCTCAAAGTTGAGAAAACAAGTTAGTTTTTCTAACATGAGGGGGAGACATGATAAACAATTGAGAAAAGGTTACGTGGAATGAATTATCACTTGTACATCTAGATCCTCGAATAAGATAATATGAACTTGAAGTTCATAAAAGGATAATTCATGTGCAATTTATTGCAAAGCATGCCAGACACATTTGCTGACCCAAAGAAAGTAACTATATTCTCATTGCAAATGCTCCTATTAAGTCCTAGAAAGACAAAGTCTATGGTACGCTTGAAGCGTATAGACAAGTCGGTTTCAAATAAACTTCTTGATAAAGAAGATGAACAAATGATCTAAATGATCATAATAAAGGAGGCAAGTGATCTAGAAGATCACATGACATAACACTTCATAAAATCTCATGAGAGATTCAGGTACCTGAATATATGAATGAAGAGATCTCTATGTTATGTCTTTATGAAAAATAAGGAGGTTGAAACTGATATAAAATGTTTGTCTACGTCATCTATAATAGCGCTAAATATATATGAGGATCTTAAGTCTAGAGAAACAATTCAAATAGAATTGGTTTCATATGAAAGACATGTAGTTTTGGACATGTAGTTCAAACATTTGAAAGTATAAAGTCAATGGTATGTGCAATCAGTTTTCGATATCTTATATGTCTAGCATGACATAAAAACTTGATATGTATCTAAAGTCTATTTATTTGGCTTATATGACTTAACAGTCCCTGAAGGATTTAAATTGCTTAAAGCATATAGAATTCATGGTCATGAAGTACTACATCCTCAGTGCAATTTGTGCAAAAATGTATCTTGCTATAACTATATGCATGACAATATGATAGCAAGAGTTTTCACCTCTATGTGAAGATATTGAACTGACGATTCCAACAAGATCATATGAAGACAATCCATCTCTATCAAGAATGATGATTTCAAGGTGCAATATATTCATTCAAGTTAATATGGCTGATTTGTTTATCAAATATCTACCAAAGATCTTTTGAAGATGGTGCACAAGATTGGATTGCAAATGCTTAAGGATGTGAAGTGATGCTCTCATGAGGGGGAGTTAATACGCGTTGTACTCTTTTTCCCTTACAAGGTTTTGTCCCACTAGTTTTTTCTTGCAAGGTTTTTAACGAGGCAACCAAAAGGTGTATTGTTAGATATGTGTACTCTTTTTCCTTCTCTAGAATTTTTTTCCCACTGGATTTTATTTAGCTAAAGTTTTAACGAGACACATTATCTATTAAATAGACATTCAAGGGGGAGTGTTATAAATACAATTATATTTATGGTGAATGTCTATATTTAGAGAGATTCTAGGGTTCATTGCTTTTGGCTAAGCCACCCTCTCTCTATAAATAGAGGGTCCTATTCTATTGTAATTCATGTCAAATCAATAAGAATTTCCTCTCTCTCTACTTTTCTTGCAATACTGTTCTTTCTTTTATTTTATTGTTTCATAACAAAAGGTATTTTGTATATTTTCTACTATCTACTATATATAAATGAACAAGGGTGTACGAACTCTGTTGTTGCTTATTGTACCAACAATAGCTATGTAAATGACATTGTATACTTGGACGCATCTGATTGGACCAATAACACGTCCAACCACGCATACCACTGATTATCTATTCTTCTTCTTTCATCTACTTTTTCGCCGATGCCGCCTCCCCTCAACCCCAGAAGCGATATGATAATCTTACCTTTCTTCTGCTTCCATGCTACTTCGGCTCCTTCAGAATAGCTACGATGTTGCTCTGTCGTGTCCGCTCAAATTAAGCTTGCGTTGCCTCGAACGACGGCGTTATTTCAGAGTTCTTTGAAATTTTAAAGGCAACACGCCCTGAAATTTTCCCTCTTCCTCTTCATCTTCTACAGAAGATCATCTATGTCTAACTACACTAGAAGGTACCGGAATTTTCGGATGGGTATTCTAGAATTCACATGTTTCTCTGACTCTTTTCGTGATTGGTTCTGTTCATTTATGTGTTTAAGTGGTGGCAATTTCGATAACAATTGTATCTTTGTAAGAATCAGTATCGCAATATTGGTTTACTTTGGTTATGGTCTTATTATATTGCGTGCATTCTTTTTTCCCCCTTTGTACATCTAAGTGGTGTATAATTAATGGCTCCTACAGGTATGCTGTGAGGTGATAACTGTCATTAGGCAGTGTTTTCTGCCAACAACAAATTTTTGTATCACCAAACGTCAGACATAATCGTCTGCTAAGAAGAAGTGAAATTTATGAGGAAATTCAGGTTTAACATATTTGTCAATTAGTTATCTCTTATTCTCTCATTACTATCTGATTCTAAATCTAAATCACATTATGTTTCTCCATACTACGGTTGACTAATGCTTTATTAATGGGGCCTAATCCCTGCTTCTTGTGACTCCTCTATAACCTTGTGGGATTAGGCATGTCTTTTCTTAGGGGTGATCCTTTTATATTTTGACATGTATCTGGCAAACAACTTTTGCTTTTAATTGCAGAGAAACGAAAGAGAGAACTTCATCCATAAAAAGTGCCATATGTGAGTGAGGATCAATGTTTTGGCATATGCTTTTACATGCATGATGTTTCCTTAAACAAGAAAGGAATCTATTGGCTCAAGACAAGATACTTCTTTTTTAATAATACAATTCAGTTGTGTATTGTCCCTATACTTTAGGCTGGAAAGAGACTACTAATTAATTTGTTTATTTGCACAGTAGTGTAAAAAGTTAGTGCACTAGCAATGATGAGAAATTTAAGATGTAAAATTGATATAGGGCATTACTTTGTATAACTGCGAGCAATGAAGTTACTTCTGCTAGCATGTTGTCATTGACTAAGAGGTGTCGTCTAGCTATATGATACATAGTTTTCCAATGATTACCAATTTCAAAGAAATTTTAATAAGATTTTAAGGGCACTAACATTATGTATCATTGTTAATGAGAAAAAAATGAGACGTTTATGATGTTCTCGTGTAGGTTGATGCATTTGCGAAGATTTTTCCGCAGGGGTGCACGTGGTTTCCTTGTGAGGTACAAGATGAAGATGAAGTGATTGTAAAATCTACTGAAGAGACTGACCAAGTCATGTTGGGGTGGTTTGGAAAGCATCTCAAGTAAGTGGCTCTCACTATGGTTATCTTTTGCTTTGCTTTGAATTGGTTATGAATGAAAAAGTAAGTTATTGGACTGTGCTCTTTGATGTTGAGCTCATTTACTATTATGCCTATATAATTCTCCTTAACCTTATAAGTGTGGATCTTTAACACATTTTCATCAATTCTTACATGCTTTCTCATGTCAAAACCTACTTAACCATGGCCATGATGGTTACTGGTGCATGTTTGTAGGACTTCCGCACAAACATAAAATGAATGCTTATCAGAATTTAATATTTACAAGTACTACTTGAAAAGTATTTCAAACTATCAAACTAAAATTTTAATTGCATTCCTTTTGTTGATGTAAAGAATAAGAAGTACTTTTATTTCCTTCATTGTTTCTTCCTAGAGTTTTCGTATGGTAAAACCATACATTAGGGAAATGTGGCCTATAAAATATTTCCAAAATTAAGGTATGTTTTCTAAATTTTATGATGTGGATTTGCACAACAATCCTGATCCTTCTTTAGGCAAGTATATTTTCTGGTTGATCTACAGCAGATATGAGTCCATATTTTTTTTGAATTTCTGATTTAAACTTTGACCATATTTTCTCCTTATATTTTTTTAATCAGAAAGGTAAAGTTTTGTTATCTACAAATAGCACCAAGAAACTGATATGCACATTAACTAGCCACAGTGTAACTGCTTCTAACATTAAATAAAGTACTCGATTCACGACGTTTTCTAAATCTGCTCATGAAATACACACGAAATACATGTAGTATCGTCATTAGGACTATATCATGGATGAATCCATCAAATTAACCAGCCAAAGTTGGCTTCAGGTCTCTATCATCTCATCCCCTTCACCAATATTCTTGAGGGGCTATGTCGTCCTTTATTGCATTCTGCCATTATTTTCAGTTACATCTGCGTCTGAACAAGGAGTTGTTTGATATTAAAATAGGGTCTATATATCTTTATTTTGTTGAGTAGTTTAGAGCCTCATTATAACTCTATTGTGCTTGCACTTAGTAATAAACTCGATGTACATGTTTTCCCTATATTTTCTTAATCTCTGCAGGCCTGGATAGATAATACATTCTTGGTTCTTGGTCCCCTTGGACGATGTAAGATTGGTAGTAGCATTGTGCAATGTGGAGCTTCGAGTTCCGATCATTATATTCGGCGACTATTTTGCTTTCTGCATTGAGTCCGCGTTCTGTGGTTCTCCTGCCTTCAGCTGAGGAGAATTTCTATTTTTATGCATTAAAAATTGTAATCATGCTACTTCAACTTTACCAGAATCGATTTGTTGTTGTTTTTACTTTTGATATTCTGTGAGGATTGAAACGATGTGATGAAAGAAAATTCAGAATAATTTGTAGTGCTTTATTTAGTATTTTCATAGGAGCAGGTAGTTAATAAAGTTTGTTGGTACCTTCTTCACTGTTCAGACAGGAAACGTTACCTATCCCATATAAAGTGAATTGAGTTCAGGAAAAAAAGAACTCTATACATTGCAATACAATGTTGGACCCGTGCTTAGAGAATTCCTTCTCTATTGTCAAAGGTTTCATACCAAATATCAGTAATAATACAACCTTCTGCTAGAACAAGAAGCAAGCTGAAAAAATGCTGTAAACATGGCTCTGGATTCGTTGTTGGAAAGGAACCACTTTTGTGTATTATTTTTACACATACTATAAAGAAAAAGTCGTTATAAAACACCATATTTTGCACATATTATACCAGTATTGTATAAATAACTCTTGATAATGGTTTATGCATGCACGGGCATCATCCCTCTAGTGTTACTCCTAAATGTTCTTTTTCCCTCTCGTTTGTTCGAAGGAAAAAGAAAAGGAAAGCTTAATCCAAACTTCATCTATTGGGCTTTATCAATCCACAAAGCACTACAAAATAAGAAATATTATAAATCTGGTAACTACACAATAGTCAAAGTTTCAAAACTAATAGAAACTTAACCATTTTTTTTTATGTAAAAATATAAAATTTGAATGAAAATACTCTTAAAAATTCGAAAAAACTCCAACATAATATGCTGGAGTTTGAATTTTTTATATATGAGATTCAAGCATAATATGCTAGAATTCCATAATGTGCTGAAGTTTTAATATAATTACTGTAAGTTTATATGTACGAGCTTGAATTCCAACATAATATGTTAGAAATTTATATGCAGGAGGTTTATAATCCAGTATATTATGCAGAAACTTTAAGTATTTTAGCAAAATAATAACTATTTATCAAGAACTTTATAAACACTGATTATTTTTTAATTATCATCCGAAGACGGGTTATTTTCACAAACCCATCACCCAAAAGTTGTTCAAGAAGACGACGCGCACGTCACATCACACCGCGCTCACGTTAGAAAAAACTTAGACCAAACGTAAAGAAAAGTCAATCGGCGCACGTTAGCTAGTGCCATCTTCCCTTCTTCACCAAATTGGAAAATCGCAGACGATCAGAAACATAAAACTCGCACTCACCGACACCGATCACTTGCTTCTGATCGTCTCCGACCAATTCTCCGGCCATATCTTATCAATTGCGATATCATATATAGAATTTGTATTTAAAAAAAGGCACGAAAATGTGGGTGTTTTATTTGATCTCGTTGCCATTAACCCTAGGCATGGTGATTTTGACATTAAAGTACTTTTCTGGTCCAGATGTGCCTCGTTACGTATTCTTCACTGTTGGTTATACCTGGTTTTGCTCTATCTCCATTATTATCCTTGTGCCTGCCGATATTTGGACGGTACATTTTCATTCTTCTTCTTCTATATTGTCATTTTAGTTTTAAATTGATTTTAATGTTTTGCTGACCTGAAATATTGGAGTAAAGCTAAAGTCACATGCGAGTTGTCTTGAAATACTAGAATAAATCCAAAGCCATGGATTTATGTAGGTCATACCAATTCGTTGGAATTAAAGCCTAGTTATTGTTGAAGCACTTTAGAGCACCTCTAATTTTGTCCTAAAAGATAATTTTGAGTATTGGAGAAGTAGGTCCACCAAGGGTGGCACCCAAGAGTGTTGCTTAGTTGTCAATGAAGTGGGAGGAGAACTCTAAGTTCTCATGTTCGAATCACAACGCTAGGTGATTTCCTTTTCATCTGCCTAAACTTCAGTAGGTGGAATTACCGAGTACATGTAGTTAAGGTGCATACAAGCTGGCACGGATACCACAATCATAAAAAATAGGTCCACCAGGTTTTTTCTTTGGGGGGGGGGGGGGGGGTTGTTGTCACGTTCCTGAGGTAGTTCCACTGGGGTGAGGAATTTTCTGTCTCATCAAATGCTCAGCATGATGATAGTTTTAAATCTCATCTTTGGTCAGTATTGTCATGAATACCCTTTTTTGGTTATGGTTCCTTTTTAAAGACATCTTTTTTATATTTATGTATGTTGTGCATGTTGATGGTGCTGGACAAGTTTGTTCATGAAATTAGTGCATGTCTAATGGGATTCTCATTGTCTGGTGTCATGCAATAGCTGAATTTTGAAAGAACATATTTGGCCAGTCTTCTAATATAGTGAATGGATTTTCTCTCTGTATCTAACTAATGTCAGGAATTTTACAAAGTTTAGTGAAATTAAGATTAGTAAATTGTGTTGTCTTTGATGTAAATGCTCATACAAAAGTTTGTGATGTTTATTTCGTGTTGATTTGTATTGTCTTTCTGTTCAGACAATAGGTGGACATGGTAATGGAGGCATATCATTCTTTTGGAGCTGGTCGTATTGGAGTACATTCCTACTTACATGGTATGATGGACTTCCATTTGTATCTGTTTGCTTCTGGATGTGTATCTGCTGAAGATGGCAAATGCTTAAAATGTGAATTTGGTATCTTGTCTAAAATAAAATTGAATTACATTGATGCTAGATTGCCTCACTCAGACCTTTTGCTTGTTGTTTGTAACAAAGTGCTTTGTGTAGATAATTGTGTCATAGATAGGCAACATTCTTTTGCTATTAGTTGGCTGGTATTATATTTGTCAGTTTTCTCTTGGGAGCTATCTCCATTTTCACATTTCTATGACGTGTGTTTCCTAACACACATTATTTATATTTGTTGGATAGGCTCGTGGTTCCCCTCATTCAGGGTTTTGAAGATGCTGGAGACTTTACACTTGTGGAGCGATTGAAGACTAGCATACATGCCAACTTGGTCTTCTATGCCATCCTGGGGGTCGTCGGTCTTCTTGGACTTATTCTCCTCATTACCATGCGGAAACGTTGGTGCGTTCTTTTTGCTCTAAGCATTTTTAATAATTTTTAAATCATAAATCTGGGTTCCTTTGCTACGGTAAATTGAAGGATACACAGGCTGTTCATCCCGTTCCTAATTTACTCTCTCCAAACTAGACAGAATGACTTTGTCCTTCATTGGCTTTATCATCTGCTCACATCCCATTGTCAGTCAAATAGATCCTAAATTGAGATATAGTGTGTCGCTTATGTTTTGATGGGTTAGAGAGTGAATTTCGTCAGCAAGTTGAAGAAGCAACTCAACCGTTGTATCTTCTGTTTTTACGATTATTTTAGTAAATAATCATGTGTCCATTTTTGTCAATCATAGGGATGGTAATGCACTGGGTTTTGCTATGGCATGCTCAAATACTTTTGGACTTGTGACTGGTGCTTTCCTTCTTGGTTTTGGTATGAGCGAAATTCCAAAGAGCATGTGGAAAAATGCGGATTGGACTACTCGTCAGAAGGTGCTTTCTCATAAAATTACCAAAATGGCTGTGAAGCTTGATGATGCCCATCAAGAATTATCAAATGCTATTGTGGTAAGTCTTGCTTATGATTCTGCTATGTGTTCAAAATATGCTTTCTACCTTGTTCGGTGGTTTTGGGGCTTTGGTCTCATTTCTGTACTAAGGTTACAGCTTGCATTTGAAATGTAATTGAGATATTATGCTATTGAATACTGTTGATAGAGTGGCCAAGAAATTGCAAATTGTATTGTCAATGATTTTTGTTTGTTCCTCTTATGTGTGCCCAGTAAGTTACTTTTGATTGTTGGCTATTTGATACTTAGGGAGTAAGTTACATCACTTTTACTGGTTTTCTTCTCGTGCACTTATAAACTACTGTTGGGCATGGTGAACTTAATCAGGTTGCTCAGGCAACATCAAAGCAGATGTCCAAGCGTGATCCTTTGAGGCCTTATATGGACGTTATTGATAAGATGTTAGTTCAAATGGTATGGCTCCTTTTTGTTACCTACTGACTTATACTATCTCTCCTCCTTTCTGCTTTCCGAATACATGCATGATATTTTATTTCATTTACAGTTCAGGGAGGATCCATCTTTCAAACCGCAAGGGGGTCGATTGGGAGAAGATGACATGGATTATGATACAGATGAGAAATCAATGGCAAAACTTAGGCGTAATCTTCGTATAGCTCGAGAGGAGTACTATAGATATAAAAGGTGAAGTCAATGCTGCATGTCAAGTTGCTGCTTCCATACTTTGCTGTGCCTTCTTGCACTGCTTGCCCATGTGAACCTATTCTTCGATACTTGTTATTCATCCGGAAAAAATCCTCATCTAAGTCAATTTTATTATCCTGTAGTTCAAGAATAAGTGTCAGATCCAGGTCTCCTTATTCCTTGATGAGTCATAGTATGCCCATCTAGCAGGTCATATAGAAAGTAAGCACGGGACCCTTTCGATGATATCTACTAGCTCATACGATATATTAAGTTTTTTATTTTAACAAGCGTCTGTTACCTCCGTAATAAAATCTGTTACTACACTTCAACGGTCTTAGAATGACAAAAAGCACGGGACCCTTTCGATGATATCTACTAGCTCCTATCAATACCCGAAGGTTTTGATCTTAACAAGCGTCTGTTACCTCTGTAATGAAATCTGTTACTAGACTTTGACTGGTCTTCTCCTTCTTGTACATTTTTGGAGTTCACAAAGCCTACCCGTTAGTTTAGATGTTTGTGGAAAGCTGTCCCTTTGTCCAGGCATTCACCTTTGGTACTATTTGTTTGCAGATCTTCCCTTTAATAACATCTTATACATCATGGCCTAACGATGGATTCTGTTCTTTTAGCTTCTGAATGCAGCTAGAATTAATCATTTGATGCTCCTGACTAACCAGTTTGTCCTGGTTATCTATGTTCACTATTTTGCTTTGTTATCTGTGTTTGAAAAACGTTGATGATAAAAATTCTTATTCTAACAACTAATTAGAACTTTTTTTTTCTCCGCATTTTGTTATCAGTATGTTTCAGCAGCATACCGGTGAAGGTTTCTTTATCTTCTGGCTGTATAAATTTAATGATTTTACCAGGGGCCAACTGATAACTTTACCTTCTAACATGCAGTGAGTATTTGACATGTGTAACAGAGGCTCTTGAACTGGAAGATACAATTAAGAATTATGAGCAGCGCAATG